TTTTTTGGTAAAGATGGGGTATTGCTATGTTGCCCAGGCTGGTCTAGAATTCCTGGCCTCAGACGATCTTCCTGTGTCAGCCTCTCAAAACACTGTGATGACAGAGCCATCTCTAAAACTAAAAGATGCTCTGGGGTTTTCCTAGGTTTGAGAGAAAACTAACCCTGAAACATTCTGTTTTCCTGCCTTGGCCATGTTTTTAAAAAATATTCACAGTTATTTAAAATATTATTGATAAATACAAACATTTACATTTCATATGAGTAAAGACAGATTTTTGTTATGAGACAATTTGATAGCAAAGAGAATCCAAATCCTTTTCTATTGAATGGAAGGAAAACATAACAGCAGAATCCATCCTATATGGCACAGAGCTGAGCATAATCTAATGAGAACTTTGCCTCACTTAATTCATTTAAACTCTTTTCAGTACTATGTAAATTCAGTTTTCCAGTCAACATCAATGAAGATATTTTATAGCATAGCTACCTAAATAAGAAACAACAACAAAGAAACTTCTTGTTAAGAGCTGATTCCTTTCTTAATTTACTTTCTAGAAAAGTGACTTATAATATTATACATTGGTTTGTTTCTAGGAGACAAAAACCCTGTTTCCTTAGAATAAACCATCATTTAATCTAAGTTCTAATGTTCTATTCAAAGAATACCTCTTCAATAAAACAGTAATTTATTAAAAGAAAGTGAATATGGGCAAATATTTGGTTCTGGAATTAGGCTGTGCATCTTGAAAGGGGACAACAGTGTGCCCAGATAGTACTCTGACTAGTTTTCTTTGCTTTGCAGGACAGTTCTGGGATGAGGCTGTGGAAAAGGAGGTGGTTTGTGCTTGCCGATTACTGCTTATTTTACTATAAAGGTGAGCTAACAAGTAGTCTATTAACCTGCCAAAGTGTTCAGTTTGTGGATGGTTGGTGACTTCAGCTTTACCAGTCCTAACACAGGAAGTTTAATCTGTTGGGTTAAAATAAATAGAATCCAGTTTGCCTGCTACTTAGTATCTCAAGATTCAGAGTGATGTACTCCAGAGAGATGAGAAGTGTGATCATTGATTGTATTTGGTAACCTGTCATCTGGATTTATTGGATGTTGGATGGGCAACTGGTGAATTGAATTGGCTGTCTGAGCGTCTATGGAGCTCCAGAACATAAAGTTTTGGGTATGGTATTGAGAAGGAGGTCTCAAAATGTAGAGAAAGGGCTTACTTTTAAGATAAGACTAGACTGCGGTTGGTGCTTTCAAAACAGTTCAGGGGGACTGAGAAGTGAATTTCACCATTGGAGAATCTGAGGAGGCTTCTTAGAAGAGAGAGAAGAGATAGGCTTTTAAGAATGGGTAGAGGCCGGGCGCGGTGGCTCAAGCCTGTAATCCCAGCACTTTGGGAGGCCGAGGCAGGTGGATCACGAGTCAAGAGATCGAGACCATCCTGGTCAACAAGGTGAAACCTCGTCTCTACTAAAAATACAAAAATTAGCTGGGCATGATGGTGCGTGCCTGTAGTCCCAGCTACTCGGGAGGCTGAGGCAGGAGAATTGCTTGAACCCAGGAGGCGGAGGTTGCGGTGAGCCGAGATTGTGCCATTGCACTCCAGTCTGCAACAACAGCGAAACTCCGTCTCAAAAAAAAAAAAAAGAAAAAAAAGAATGGGTAGAGCTTTGCCTGTGTGTGGGTCAGGGAAGGATGGACATTACACGGGGAAGAAACAGCATGGGTGAAGTTCTGGAAGCATTGGGATGGATGAGCCCAGGAAAGGTGCCCAGAAGGTTGTTCTGATGTGTTTTTCCATTCAAAGACAGCCGAGAAGAAGCAGTCCTTGGGAGCATTCCCTTGCCCAGCTACGTGATCTCGCCTGTGGCCCCTGAGGATCGCATAAGCCGCAAATACTCCTTTAAGGTACTGCCTGTACACCTCTAATGCAGCTGTTCTGTCTAAAGAAACTGTGTTCTCAAAATGCCTTTGTAAAAGCAATTGCTTTGGTCGGGAGGGGGAAGAAGTTAAGCTAGAGAGTCTCAAATTCAGATTAACCAAGCTACAAGTTACTTAAACAAGAATAATATCACATGACCAGTACTGTCATTTGAATCTAAGCTTTGGAGTCACCCAGCCATATTCAAGTATTCAGACCCCTCCTTCCTGTCACTGCCAGTCTTGTGGTTACCTATCAAAGCCCTTCTTGAGTTATCTTATCACCATACTCAGCAGCCTAAATGCCATCCAGCCATTTTGTGCAACTGGTGACCCCTTGTAATGGGTTTATGTCCATTGTATTATGAAAACTCGCATTGAGGGTTAGGGCCCTGCGTGTTGAAGAGGCTGTCAGGTTTGTCCACTTTGTTTATCTTGCTGAAAAGCAATTAGAATAAAATTTGGTTTATCTTCTGGATCATTGAAGATTTCCAGGCAGATCCCTTTACCAGTAAAACCCCTTTGCTACTTATTTTGTGACTGTACCATTTGGGCTGCGTGAGGCTATGATAATTAGTGGCAGTTTTGCCCTGTAGAACCTGTGAGGTCAGGTGTGGAGGCTCTTGGAAGATATGTTTAGGCTCAAACATGGGGAATCCTGAGGTCTTCTCCATTGGTGGCCTCCACAGATTCCTTTACTGCAGGTGTTAAGATCTTGGGTCCCCCAGGGAAGGGAAGCGTGGGGCGGATTAAAGATCCACTTTAATAGCAGTTGAGGTGCAAGTCCTAGAGAGCACTGAAGCAAGCAGCCCTTGGTGCCAGTCGCCACAGGGCACAGCCCTCTCTTGCTCAAGATATGAGGCAATGTCATACACTTCAAGCTGGAGTAGGGGCTCCTGCCCCTACTGCATTTGTTGCTTGGCCATTTCCATGTTAGGGGTACAAGATGAGTACTAGACAGTAGGTAGTAAAGCAGAGATTGAACAGAAATCATGCTTTCTAGCCACAGATGAAGGACCATGGGAATGTACAAGGTAAGACACCTTGTACTTATCTTGGAAGTTCTCTGGAAGTGTTAAAGGCCAGTGTTGGTCCGTGGTGTCCATGGTGTTAGCAGCCGGTCCTTCATCTGTGAGGGGCTTGCAAAGTGAGAGTCTGCATCAGCACCTTGATCTGGCGTCCATGGTGGTGCCAGTGGTTAGAAAGTCGGTTTCCTCTTCCTTTTATCTTTCCTTCCTAAGGAGGCACAGAACTGAGCTGATGCTTTGGCTTTGCTCATCAACAGGTTTGAGTTGTCCCTCTCCTTCCCTTGAGTGATGCTACTGAGTGTCACTCCAGAATTGCTATGGGTTGGTGATTCTGGGATAGTGCTCTGCATCCTGTTGCATGGAATACTGTTGCCTTACATCTTTGACATTTTAAGATTTGGGAAGTACTTTTATACATGTAACCTCATTTAATGCTCATGGTGAGGGAAAGATGTGAAAGCTAAAGAAACTTGCTCAAAGTCACAAAGCTGAAAGATGACATAGGCAGAACTTGGCCCTGAATTCTGTTCTCTTTCAGGTTTATTACAGGGCTCCCACCTTGTATTATTTTCTCTTCTTCCTTGCTTTTTCTTCCATGTTTTATCTTGGTCATTGGCTATACAGACAACCCAGGAGGTAGAAGGTGGTTTGAATTCACATTTATTGTATCATTTTAGAAACTTATTCCCGGCTCTGAAAACATTTTGTTCAGTGGTTTTCAGACTCCCCTTTATAGCCTGAAAAATCTTCCTTAGAAAACTCTGCTTTCTAGAGTGGAGCACTGCCCAGTTGGGCAAACAATTGGGATAGTGATATTGTATGTGATGTTTTGGGAACAACATTTGGCATATCCTCAAAGTAACATGTCATAACTATATACATTTTATCTTAACACTTCATTGGAGGTGTGAAAATAGATTCTAGGCAAACATCTTTAATCTGTCTTAGATTTTCCTTTTCTTAACATTTTTCTTAGAAAGACTTCACGAAGAGTGTTCCCTAAATCTTTTATCTGGGAGGCAGAAGGCTTCCTGTGTTCGGGGGAGGTCTTTGAGGTCCTCAGGATCTGAGAGCAGTGAAAAGCTACTACAGACAGATCTGGTGGTGTTTAGATGGTTCTCTAGAAAGGGCAATGGTTTCCTGAGTCTGAAAGAGTTATCTTTTCATTTGGGTTGCAGCATACTTCTATTAGGGGCCAGAGGGTATGCCCTGGGGGTGCAGCTCAGGGTCTATATTCTTGGGCATATCAAGGAATACACAGTGTTTTGTACTTGGCCCTGATACCTGCCTTTTATGTTGGTCTTTCTCTGTATCTAGAGCTGAAGTTCTCATACCGTTGCTAGGGCATCTTGTCTGAGATAGCTCAGAGTATCTACCGTGCTTGGCCTACTTTTTAACCTTTAACGAAAATATAACATTTCTTTCAGTTAAGAAAGCAGGTCACAATGTGTATCAGCAGTACCTGTGACTTGGTTACCAGTAGAAACCATAGATCCCTTCATAACACATTACAGTTGTAGATACCTTGAAACCTCATTTATGCTCATCACCATTTTAAAATCACAATAATTATAACATCTGCCACCAGATACATTATGCAGTACATTAGTAAACAAACACCTGCATCACTATACCACACATTTAAAAAATATTTTAAGAACTATATTTCAGTATAATAAATTTACCTTATTTTGTGTGCTTAACATTCTGAAAAAGGTTCATAGGATTTATCAAACTGTCAAAAGTGTCCATGCCACAAAAAATGTTAAGGTTCCTGCTCTAGATTCTGAAGACGTGCCAAGAGGCATGGTTTTTCACTTATGTAGTTCTATTTGATAAACTTCTGTTGCATGCTCTGATAGTCTATTGGATAGTATACTAGGGATACAGCAATGAACAGGACAAAATCTTGGCCTTTGTAGATTTTATATTCTCAAGTTTGCATCAGCATGTGTATTATTAGAGGATGAGAAGACAACAAGAAAGAGCTGCCTTTTTCTCTGTCCTTTCGATTTTGTTCTTTGCATATCTGCCAAGTTCATGTCTTCCTTTCCACCCCTGCTGCCACTGTTCTGTCTTGGCCACCACCATCCCTCCCCTGGGGAGCACACTATAGAGCAGGACCTAGTATATATTAAGTGCTCTGTAAGTGTTGGCTGTCACTGATTCAGCCTGGGAGCTCCTCTGCAGCCTCCAGTTCCTCCTCCACATTGTTTCTAAGTTGCACCCATGTTCAGATTGTATTCTCACCATAAGCCCTTCAGTGGTTTCCCGCTGCTTTCAGGATAAAGCCAATCATTTTTTAATTTTTCTTTTCTTTTCTTTTTTTGAGACAGAGTTTCTCTCTGTCACCCAGGCTGGAGTAAGTGGTGTGATACTGGCTCATCACTGCAACCTCTGCCTCCCGGGTTCAGGCAATTCTTCTGCCTCAGCCTCCCGAGCAGCTGGGATTACAGGTGCCCACCACCATCCCCAACTAATTTTTTATTTTTATTTTTAGTAAAGATGAGGTTTTACCATGTTGGCCAGGTCTCTAATCTCCCAAAGTGCTGAGATTACAGGCAGGAGCCACCATGCTTGGCCAATAAAGCCAATCTGGATTCACAAGGCTCCAGCTTATCTCTACAGCCACATTTTTAGCCACTCCTGTCTTGTCTTTCCTCTAGCCATATACAGTTGCTTAAGGCCCCAGCATATTTCTTGCCTGTAGCCCTTTACTTAAACTTCAGCCACAGACTGGGATGTCCTTTCCCCAACTCTTACTTGTCCTTCAGTTTTCTGCTCAGGGTCACCTTCTCTGGGAAGCCTTCTCTGAGCCCTGTCGACAGGTGAAGTACCCTTCTTCTCTGCTTCCACAGCTCTGTATCACTGCACTGTAAATGGTTGATTCACCCACCCAGACCTTTCACCGGGAAAACTAGTTCATCAGCTAGTTCTGCTAGTCCCATCCCGTAGGCAGGGACCATAGGGAGCAGTCACGTGTAATGGGAATCGTGGTCAATGACAATGCTTATACTTCCAAAGATATGGTGGGTTCAGGCTTACTTGTATTTTGTATTTAGTCACCTCTAAATTTGTGATGGGGGGGAGGAAGAAGAGTCTTAAAGTTTCTAGAATGCTCTTTCAGCCAACCTCCCTAAGTTGCTCAAGTGACGGCTCCTTCAGTAGCATCCACTGACACCTTTGAGCCTCACAAATGCCAGGCTGTGCTCTAAGCACCGTATATGTATTGTCTCATTTCATCCTCACATGGCCTTATAGGGTAAATGCTACTTTTAGCCATGGTCCTATTTTAAAGATGAAGAAACAAAGGGATGAGGAGGTTGAGTAATTTACCCAGAGTTACCCAGTGGACAAGAGGCGAAGTCCACCTTGGACCTCGGGCTGATTCCAAGAGCCCAAGTTCTTACCCTTTTCACTATGCTGCTTGTAGTCAGCCTAAAGATTGGACATGGGAAGTTCCTTTTCTTTTCTTTTTGAGACAGAGTCTCACTCTGTCACCCAGGCTGGAGTGCAGTGGCACAATCTCCACTCACTGTAACCTCTGCCTCCCGGGTTCAAGCAATTCTCCTGCCTCAGCCACCTAGTAGCAGGGAATACTGATGCCCACCACCACACCCAGCTAATTTTTGTATTTTTTATAGAGATGAGGTTTTGCCAATTGGCCAGGCTGTTCTTGAACTCCTGACCTCCTGTCTTGGCCTCCCAAAGTGCTGGGATTACAGGTGTGAGCTACCATGCCTGGTCTCTTTTCTTAATCTCAATAAATGGGCACCACTAATTCTGCAAGTTGTAAGTTGTAAACTTGAGACTCATCCTTTATACCTGCTGTTCCCTCTCCTCATATCCAGTCCATTACCAAGGCATGCAGATATTACCTGCAAGTTCTCTCCAGATCCTGTCTGCTCCTCCACTTCTCTGCCTCCACCACCATCTCTCACCTGTGCTCCCGTAGTAGCCTCCTGACCCATCTCTCCTCAAACGTTCCTGCTTGCTTGAACCTCTCTGCGTACTGCAGCCAGAGTGGTCTTTCCAAACAAAACCTGATCACATCATTCCCCAGCGTAAGCCCTTGAAATAAGGCTGGGTGCAGTGGCTCATGCCTGTAATCTCAGCACTTTGGGAAGCCAAGGTGGTTGGATCCCTTGAACCCAGGAGTTCAAGACCAGCTTGGACAACATGGCGAAACCACATCTCTACAAAAAATACAAAATTAATCGTGTTTGATGGTGTGCTCTTGTAGTACAAGCTACTCAGGAGGCTGGGGTGGGGGGATCGCTTGAACTCAGGAGGCGAAGATTGCAGTGAGCCAAGATGGTGCCACTGTACTCCAGCCTGGGCAACAGATCAAGACCTTGTCTCAGAAAAATGAAAAAACCTCTAACAGTTTCTCATTGCTCTTTCATGAAGACAAAATCCTACATGATCTGTAAGGCTCTGGTGGTCTGGCCCTGCCAACTTAGGCAGCCTTCCTTCATGCTGTTTTCCCCTCCATTCCTCTGTGCCAGCTATGCTGGCCTCATCCTTGAAGATGAATACACTGTGTGCTCATGTCCATGGGGTGCTGCCCAGCTCCTCTCTGCTAGTACTTAAATGACTACCTATAGTGCATAAGTTAGCTGCAATGTCAGTTCCCCAGGGGTCAGGCTGAGCTCCCTCGTTATCCTCCTCACAGCATCCTGCCCTTCTTGATGGCATTTCCTACAGCTGGAGTTACTTCTCCGTGGTCTTTCTCTTCTATGTGGCTATAAACTGTAATGGCGTTTTTTAAGGCTGTCCCTCCAACTTTGGTAGGGTGCCTTTCCCATAGTAAATAATAAATGGTTCATTGTTGTTGAACAAGTTCCAGAATGAGCCAGCCAGTTGATGGGCCCTGGCCTTTTGGGTACTCCTATATTTTCCACTGAGGTTTCTCTATTCTAAAGGCTGCTGTTGGGGGCTTGAGCCTTGAGGATTCTGGCTCCTTTACCAGTGTTGTGTCTAAAACTAAGGTCCAAGAGCCAGGAGAGTACCATATCCTAGGGGTCTCATGTCTTTGAGGTAAACTCTTCTTCGCTCACATCCTGATTTCCTTTAGGCATAGCCTGTTTTCTATTCAGTTATACAAAGTTGCTTCATAGGATTATGTTAACGGGAAAGCAAAGAGCAAAGAAAACAGCATTTCTGAATTGAGAAGAGGGAGAAATTCAACTATGTGAGAAGATTCACATCATCTGGGTTATGACGTCTTCCTAGGCTCAGGACACTTTGGACTTGGGTCACTTGGCCAGATGAAAAGGAAACTCCCTGTACTTCTTGCCTTCACAGTTAATCCATCTAATATGTCCTCACACAGGCAGAATGCAGTTGGAATCTGTTCTTCAGAGTCAAGAGCAGCTGGGCGCAGCACCTGCTTGTTTGATTAGTGACCAGGGTTTTATTTGCAATCATGTGTAACTCCTTCATAATGGTGGATGTAACACTCAAGCTCATTTGCGAGCAGACATGCAAACCCATGTCTGCATGTTTGAGGCATGTCCCATGTTAATTTCCTGGACAAGGCTGACTCCATGAAGTTTTGTACAGCAGGAATCTACTGTCTTTATTGTACCTTGGAGGACTCCCTATGCTTGTGTCTAGTGGGATAGGCACCTGTCCCAGTACCCTCTATGACTGGGCACAAATGCCTGGGTGAGTGTGTCAGAGATCTCATGGGGTCATTGTCCAGAGGATGTTTTCCAAGAATTTCTGCTGATTTTCAGTAAGACATGCACAGATTCCTTCTTATTCTGTTCTTTTTTTCTTTTTTTTTTTTTTTTGAGATGAAGTCTCACTCTGTCACCCAGGCTGGAGTGCAGTGGCGCAATCTCAACTCACTGCAAGCCCCACCTGCTGGGTCCAAGTGATTCTCATGCCTCAGCCTCCTGAGTAGCTGGGATTACAGGCACACGCCACCACACCTAGCTAATTTTTATATTTTTAGTAGAGACGGGGTTTCACCATGTTGCTCAGGCTGGTCTTGAACTCCTGACTTCAGGTGTTCTACCTGCCTCAGCTTCCCAAAGTGCTGGGATTAGAGGTGTAAGCCACTGCATCTGGCCTTATTCTGTTCTCTTACTGGCACATTTCCACCTTGCTTAAAATAGAATCCTTCCTGTAATAGTGAATGACACCTTATACAAGCTAAGGAAGGATATCAGGTTTGCTTCAGCCACTATAGGGATCCTTGGCTGCAGGCCAAGTTTGCCTAGATTCCCTTAGCCCTGAGCTGGATGGACTCAGATATGTAAATGCCAGAAGCAGACCTATATTTACTGTGCATTTTGGATCTGGATATTAAGAGGGTAGGGAGGAGAAGTAAATGCTGGAAGTTCATCTGACATGTTTTCATCCATGACTATTAGTGATTCCAGAATCATGTCATTGTCCAGCTTATCATTGGTTCTCATTTTGTTTTCTCTGCCTGGTCCTTGCATGGGGTCTGCCTTTCATGCTGGATTCAGAGTATGGAACCAGTTATTTGGATAATCACGCTCACTTCTGGACAGAACCTGGGAGCAATATACAGAGAAGCTTGGACTTGGGAGTTAGACCTGGACTCCAATTCATTCTTTCAGCAAATGTTTATCGAGCACCTACTATGTGCCAGGCACTGTTCCTGAGGATATACTAGTGAATAAAATAGCAAAATTTCTACTTTCATGGAGCTTATATTTGTAGAGAAAGGAGACAGATGATAAGCAGGTAATAAATAGCACCAGGTAATGGTAAGTGCTGTGAAGAATCTGTTACCAGGTGTGGAAATCTGGGAAAGTTACTTAACATATCAGAGCTTCATTTGCTATCTGTAAAACAGAGATTCTGTCTCCACTTCTCAAGGCTATTAAGATTACGAGATTAAAGTTGTGGAAGTACCTAGGAGACACACAGTAGGTACTCAGTAAATCTTTCTCTTTTCACACCATCTTCCTATATATATTTGATGAGATTGTTCCTTGCAAATTTAAAAGATGGGTCTCTGCTTTATCAGAGCACAAGGGGAAAAACTGGTGTCATCCCAGTCATTTTTCAGTGGTCATTCTGAGTACCTTTTTTCAGATTTTTTTGCAAGGATACATGTGAAAGTACCTTGAGGCAAAAGGTCACAGTAGGTTTGCAAGAATATTTAGGTAACTGTTGGTCAGCTCTGTCCACCTCTGTAGTGCTTTTTTGAGAGCTTGTTCTAGCAGGGGAGCGCAGCTACCTGTATACCCTTGACTGAAGGCCAGTCCTCCTCTATCGGGGATGGTCTTCCTCTTCAACTGAGTGTGCAGCTGCCTAGCTGGCCAGATCAGCCGAGTCAACCCTGGCGATCAATGGGGTGACAGCTGTTGCAGCCAGATTGCCCTCATATCTGGTAGCGCCTCTTTTGGAGAGACAAATCAGCAGCTTCTTTGAGGAACACACATCACACGTCATGCCTAAGCAGTGAAACACAGTGAACATTCACATCAAGCCACCTGTTGATGCAGCCAGTTTTAAGTCAATTCTTGTCTGATTGTAGCCAAAGCAGAAATCACAGGCTTCAGAAAAACCAGAACAGGGATTCGCAAGAGTCTGTCTCTATGAAATGAAGGTTTTCTGAAAAGCCTGCTTCTCACATAAGCCTTGACTTTGTGCACATTCCCAACCACAAAAGCAGGAGAAAGGTAAATAGGAAACAGGTACAGCTGCAGGGCTTTTACTATGGGGAAACAGACACAGCTGTCAGTGGACCTGGCTGCACTAAGAAAGAGGAATCTAGCCTGTGATGTTTTCTAGGTGTGGAAACAAGCTGGGTGGTGCTCGGGATTTTAGTCTGGAAGGGCCAGAGTGCCTCCTTGCCTTGCTCCTAGAAAGGAAATATGTGATAACCTCCCTCTGACCTGCGTTTCTGTCTTCATGCTGCAGGCTGTGCACACGGGGATGCGAGCGCTCATCTATAACAGCTCCACAGCAGGCTCTCAGGCCGAGCAGTCGGGCATGAGGACCTACTACTTCAGTGCCGACACCCAGGAGGACATGAATGCTTGGGTCAGGGCCATGAACCAGGCTGCACAGGTGCTGTCTCGATCGTCACTGAAGAGGTTAGTCCTGATGGAGGGTCCCTGCCAGAGCACCTCCTACACTAGGACTAGGACCCAGATAGGTCCTCCTGGGTGCCTGAAATTCCACCATTCACTCATTTGTATTAAGCACTGCCCTCTCTTTGTTAATGTTCTTCATTAAATAAAAACACTAAGTCCTGAAAGGGTGAAATGACAGCCTGGGATCCACAGCCATGGAAACTGGCATATGTGTACTTCATGGTTTTTCTCAAGGGTGGTGGAAGGGACAACCTTGGGGCACCAAACTGGGGAGTGGGGAGAGGACAGGCAAGAAAGGTCTTGCAAACCAAAAATCTGCTACAGACTAACTGCCATGTGGCTGGGAGCTGACCTGGGAGCGATCTTCTACTTGCTCCCTCCCTCAAATAGTCCAACTAACCATATAATCAGAGACCTTGAAATTGCTGGCTCTGTTGGCTGTAGGTGATTGCCTGAGAGAAAGCAGGAGGATTATGAATGGAGTCGAGGCTCAGAGAGAGAGATCAGAGTGACCCTGAAAAAGTCTGGGTATCCCTTTATCTGGTCTTCATCTCACATTGGGCCCATTGCTTCCTATCCTGACACCTTGCTCTTTGACAGTGTTCTTTGAGTGAGGCCTCAAAACTCAAGCGTATCCTCTTGTAACCTACGGGTAGAACTTTTTAGTGACTGGAAATGGATTGTACCGGGATGTTTAGCTTTTGAATATTTTCTACCTCATATATATGTGGTTTTTGGAATTCTTGGTATTTTTTAGCTTTATGATATCTTTCATGAAGCATACAGACCTCATGAAATATAAATAGAGGTATAAATAGTGATCTCCATCAAGAGGCCAGGGTATGGTCAGGCCCTACCCTCTGGAGCTCCCATAACACTTCAGACTGAGCATTTTTCACACTGGGTTTGATTCCCCCTTCTGTCTATTTTTCAGGATCCTAGGCTCAAAGCAGAAATTATCTTTATATCTTTTTTTTTTTTTGAGACGGAGTCTCGCTCTTGTTGCCCAGGCTGGAGTGCAATAGCGCAATCTCGGCTCACTGCAATTTCTGCCTCCTGGGTTTCTCCTGCCGCAGCCTCCTGAGTAGCTAGGATTACAGGCACCCGCCACCACGTCAGGCTTATTTTTTGTATTCCGGTTTCACCATGTTGGTCAGGCTGGTCTCACGTTCCTGACCTCAGGTGATCTACCTGCCTCAGCCTCCCAAAGTGCTGGGATTACAGGTATGAGCCACCATGCCCAGCCCATCTTTATATCTCAATGCACAACATCTGACACATTTGAGAGTAAGCTCTTAAATGTCTGGTGAATGAGTAAGTGAGATATTAGAAGAATGAACGCATGAAGATGTTGAACAGAACAGGACCGAAGACTGCCCTAGGAGTTTCCCCATGGACCCTGAATCAGTAACTAAGTCAGTTTTGGCTCTGCTTCTAGCATTGTCATCCAGTCTGCTTTTTTTTTATTGTTTCTGTAATAATGATAAGAAAGGCTTTGCCAGTAGCCTGCGGGTATCAGTTCACAATGTGGTTGGCATTTCCCTTGTCACCCCAGGAGAAGGAAACTGGGTAGATTTGACACATCTTACTCCTAGTGCACACACTAGTCCCCAACAGTCACTGTTTCCTGGTCTTTATTTTTCATTCTTTTACTATATATATGTTTACGCTATATGTATCTAGTGATTCCTTGGTATCCGTGGAGGACTGGTTCCAAAAAGCCCCACAGATACCAAAATACTCAGAGTTCCTTATATAAAATAGTATATTTGCATATAACCTATGCACATACTTTAAATCATTTCTAGATTACAAGGTTGCATATAATACCTAATACAATGTAAATGCTATGTAAATAGCTATTATACTGTATTGTTTAGGAAAAAAATGACAAGAAGTCCATATGTGTTCAGTACAGACACAATCATCCTTTTTTTCCCTCTAAATATTTTAAATTTGTGGTTGGTTGAATCCATGGATATGAAACCCTGGATACAGAGGGCCGACTGTGTATATGTGTGGATATATACATATGTACATATATAGTTAAATATATACAATTATTAAATATATATTTAACCATATAATAAATGAAAACAGTCTAAGTATAAAAATACAAAAACTAAAGACAAAGATATCCCAAATCACCTTCCCAAGGTAATCTCTATTGTCAGGTTAATTGGCTTTTAAACTATTCTGTATTCATTTATATACGCATATGCACTTATACAAATATGTGTTTATCTGTGCTTTCTGAAAGCATGAATAATGACATCTGAAAGATCATTCAGTATCAATATGTATGAATCACCTTTAACTTTTACTCATATGGTATTTCATAGTGTAGATGTACTGTAGTGTAATTTTTAAACCTGTATTTAAAATTTTTGTATTAACCTTCTACAAGCGTCTGCATGTGTGAGTCTTTCAGATTGCTGGGTAAAAGTACAATACATTTTTAATTTTAATTAATACCACCAAATTGCCCTTTAAAGAAAGCTATGTATTCCACTAGTGAATGTGTCATTTCCCCATGTCTTTGCCAATAGTTGATATTATGTCTTTTAATTTTATATGGCCTGCTACATAAATAGCATCTGATTATCTTAATTTAATGTATATTTCCATGATGATGGGGATCTTTTATATTTATTGTTCACTTTTTTTTTTTTTTTTTGAGACAGAGTTTCGCTCTTGTTACCCAGGCTGGAGTGCAATGGTGCGATCTCGGCTCACCGCAACCTCCGCCTCCTGGGTTCAGGCAATTCTCCTGCCTCAGCCTCCTGAGTAGCTGGGATTACAGGCACGTGCCACCATGCCCAGCTAATTTTTTGTATTTTTAGTAGAGACGGGGTTTCACCATGTTGACCAGGATGGTCTCGATCTCTTGACCTCGTGATCCACCCGCCTCGGCCTCCCAAAGTGCTGGGATTACAGGCTTGAGCCACCGTGCCCGGCCCACTTTTTTTTTTTTTAAGACACGGAGTCTCACTCTATCACCCTGGCTGGAGTGCAGTGGTGTGATCATAGCTCACTGTAGCCTCGAACTCCTGGGCTCAAGCAGTCCTCCCACTTCAGCCTCCCTAGTAGCTGAGACCTCAGTTGTGGGCCACCACATCATGCCTGGCTATTTTTAAAAATTTTTGTAGAGACAGAGGCTCACTATGTTACCCAGTCTGGTCTTGAATTCCTTGCCTTAAGCAATCCTCCTGGCTCAGCCTCCTGAGTAGCTGAGATGTCATTCACCAGCCACCATGCCCAGCTCAATGGCCACGTGTATTTTCTATTAAGTAAATTGCCTGTACCCATCCGCCGTCCATTTTTGTACTGAGTTGTTTGCCCTTTCTTGCTGTCTACTTTCCTGTGTGCTCTGAAATCTGCCAGGTTAACACTGCTGCTTAGCCTCTTGCAGAGGCTGATAATAGGCTATGGAATTTGTTTTTCCTCTTCTTTGAAAGTCAGGATGCTGTTTGCCAGTTTCCAACATTCTGGCCTTTTCCCCCTTGCCTTTGATTCCTCAGAGATCACCCAAAGGTTTCTCGATCCCAATTTCCCTTATGTCCCTGGGGCACCACTGATAGCTGGGTCTGGAGCTCAGCTACAGGAGAGGAGGGCTTCCCTTTCTTCCTCCCCATCATGGACTCTGAGGCTCTCTTAACCAAGTTGTTCTCTTTTTCCTGGTGAAGATCATTTCTCCTAATGAAGACGTGGAACTAAACCCAGAAGCTGGAGAATTCTACCTTCTCTATATATTCTGGGTCATCTTCCCTAAGCAGAGACAACTACATCTCTCTCTCTCTTTTTTAAAGTCCTCCTTTATTTTCATTCATTTAAAAATGGAAATTTTGTTTTTGTTTTTACTTTAAATAAACAAACCTCAGCCTCTGCTAGACTTTATTCTTCCTGCCATTGTTCATGTGGGCCCATTCCACAGTGAATTTGTGCCCCACCTTCCACTTCTTGTACACATCCTTTTATAATTTGAGCTCCAGGAGTTCCCTGTGTTGTTAGGCTAGAGATGGCAAATGGGCTTCTTCTCGTGTCCCAACTTTGTTCAATTCATTGTGGCTGACTAGGATGCTAGGTAAGAGAGAATTTCAGAATGAGATTGGACTTTATGGGAAAAAAGTACATGATTGATAAATAATGTCTTGCCAGAACCCTTGAGGATTAATTTAGACAGCTGAGATTTGGTATTTTTTAGCATCAGATTTTGGTGTTGGAAGGGCTCCTCCCCTTTCCCTGGTCTCTGGCCATTGTATCATCCCTAGCTTTTCTCTGACTTTGAGATTTATCTTATTATGCTCTTAATAAACTTAAAACTCCATGATCATGTTTGCCCAAGGTTTCTTCCCTTTAAAAATAAAAAACATAGGCCAGGTATAGTGACTCATGCCTGTAATCCCAGCACTTTGGAAGGCCGAGACAGCTGGATCACCTGAGGTTAGGAGTTTGAGACCAGCCCGACCAACATGGTGAAACCCCATCTCTACTAAAAATATAAAAATTAGCTGGGTGTGGTGGTGGGAGCCAGTAATCCCAGCTACTTGGAAGGCTGAGGCAGGGGAATCACTTGAACCCAGGAGGCAGAGGTTTCAGTGAGCCAAAATCACACCACTGCACTCCAGCTTGGGCAGCGGAGTGAGACTTCGTAAAAAAAACAAAAACTAAAACTAAAACAAAATAAAAAACACACAATTTTCCAGCTTCTGAGTCACAACAAAGACATAATAGCATTTATCTGTAAGTTTCTGAGAGCTGACATTGTCAGCCAAGCAAATACAGACTTATTAAATGTTCTATTTTTCTCGAATAAGATGTTCAGACATTTGGTTGGTTAAAATTATTCGTCAGACAGACTAAATCTTGCCTCTCCTCCAGTCTGGTGTTTTCCATTAGAAAAGCTCCATCTCTGTAAGTGGGTGGCCGCAACAGTAGCATTTCATTCGCTCCTTCTGGGATTCTCACCCAGAGGCTTCTCTCTTTATTCATACAGGCAG